TATATATACAGTATGTAATATTATGGTTGTCTGTAGGCAGATGAGCTTTCTCAGCTTCTCTATCCTGGATGCTCGGTCACATTAACAAGCCATAAAGGCGCAGGCCCGACTTTTCTCACTGTTGTAATCAGACCCTTGAGTCAGGTCCTTGTTAGTTGATGCACAATAAGCTCCAGTCTAATGAAGTGTAAAGCAGATAGGAGAGAGGCGGAGAGCGGGGCCGAGTGAATACGACCGGCAGCCGCAGACTGCAGCAGAGAGCTCGATGCTAATGTTATTAGCTGGGAGGTCATTCCGTTTTGCCTCACCCCACCTCAGTTTATCAGCACTTCATAAAGGGAAGGATGTAAGGTCAGGGTGTTAAAGCATCCGACCACCCTTAAGAGCGGTATCTGTCTGAGGGTGAGTATAGTGAAACGTGGGTTCAACGCGTGGTTTGATTGCAGCTGTGTCAGAATGATCACAGACCTTCTGCCCTTAACAGACTCCTTCTGTGTCGAGGTTTGTCCCACTTGTGCCAAACTTCCTCCTCTCCTCTGTGTTCATTAAGAGTCCGATTGTTGCTTCGGCTCAAGAAGCCTCTCTCTGCTTCTCACTCACACTGCTCACCCTAATGCTGCTGATGAGCTTTTAATGCACTTGGGGGTCTACTTCAGTCAGCACCAAGAAGTTTTTATGCGCTTACTTTAAACAGAATGGGTTTGTTACCTCCGCCAAGGGCGAGGTAATGTTTTCGGATGCGTATGTCTGTCTGTCTGTCTGTCTGTCTGTCTGTGGACCACATTACTCAAAAACTTGTGGGCGGATTGTCATGACATTTTTACAACTTGTGGGTACTGGGCCAAGGAACACACCATTAAATTTTGGTGACGTTCCGGATCACGATGCAAATACAGGAATTTTTGTCTTTTAACACTCTGAGATCGGCAAAGCTGTGATGCTTTCACAGAGCTTCTGTAAAAAAAAACTGTGAGCTGGATTGGACAGCACGGACTTCAAACTTTATAAAAGTAATGTTAAAACGAGATTTAATGATGAGTATTTTTTGCCATAATATGCACATTTAGAGAATGTTTTGTGACCAGGAAGTGCGTGACTGCACCATGAAACCTATTTTTCCCATTTCCTCAAACACACCACATTTCCAAAACAACCAATCAAAACAGTTTCTTGCTACTAGAGCTTGTAAACAGAGAGCTGCCGGGCCTCAAAGTTTGGAGACGGGGGAACCAGGAAGCACTTTATAAAGAGAGTCATACCATTTCAAACTCATACAAGGGGATAAAACAGACGTTTTACATGGTGAAATGTGACTGAAGAAAACTTAGGAGCTTAATCCCACACCAGTTTGATGATGAATAACGTTGGGTGACGAGTCTGACTTTTGTTTTTTTCACATTGGACTCCACCAAGAAGATATCCCGTGCATACTGCCTGCTTAAATGTTCGCTACGTCGCAACTTATTCGGCAAATGTGTTTCCATCTCTGCTTTTGCGCATTAACTCTTACAGGATGGGGGAAACTGGTCTTGGCGGAGGTTTGCACACTCCGAGTGCTTCTAGTAACCAATGTATTTGTCTGATTTCTAACCACTTTGTCTATTGTTTGCTATCTCTTTAAAACTAGCACGATCCCAGTCATTTATCATTCTGCAGGTATTAGCATTCATAACCAACCATTTCCCCTATGTTAACTCCTATGAGTCCATTATAATGCATTTGCAATGCATTAACTTTTTGTAAAGGCCTATCCTGTCTGGATAGCTCTTTTCTGACCGTCATGTGACAGAGATATGTTGTGTTTGCTTGCACGTCCGTGCACAAACACACAAATTAACCCTTCACATGTTTCTCTTCTAGCCAACGCCGGGGCCTGTTTTCCTAAGCAAGGTAACTCACCGAGCGGACGGCTCCCTGCTCTTTTTATCACATCTTAACTCCATTGTTATTCCAGTCACGCATTTTATGTGTAACCATTCCGTCTCCTTCCGGCTGTCTTTGTTCCCTTCCTGTGTGCCTTCCACCTTGGGCTGTGCTGTCTGTCAGATAGAAAACCGATAAAAGGCCAAGTGCTGTCAGAATGATGGGAGTTCCAAAAACGAGCAGAAGGAACAATAAGTTCCAGGGGGAGATAGTGAAAACCTGTTGGAAAAAGTGTGAGAGGGTGTTGAGGGATGGAGGGAATGATGGGCACGAGTTGGTAAAGAAAACAAGAAAGTAAAAATGGAGACTGTGTCTGTTTAATGACAGAAGTTGTTACTTCCTCCCTCAAATGAACATTTAATTATTTTACAATAAGCTTTTTTTTTGTTTTTGTCTGTTTACTAAGTGAATAATGAAAGCCACTTAGTGAAAAGCAGTCACATCACAATGGAAAATCCTGGAAAACAAATTCAGTTTGAGCGTTTTTCTTTGATCTACTACTGCAGGAGCACTTTACTTTTCTCATTTTTCTTCCCCTCAGAACTTGAAATCAATAATTCCGCAAGAAACTGCTCTGTCCTGGTGGCAAATAGGCTAACATCCCATYCCATTTCTCTCTTCTTCTCTCTCTCCTGTCCCCTCCTGTGCTGTTTTTCCCCACTCTGCTTCTCCCTGCTTCGTACGTTTCCGCATTTGTGTGCCTGCTGTGTGTACGTATGTCTCCACCCATAAATGTTTTCTGGATGCTGATGTGGGTGGCGATTCACTTTTTTCTCCTGTGCTTTCCACTCATCACCCCCCCATGCTTCATTTTCCTTACCCCTCCTTCCTCCTTCTGTCCTCCTACCTCAGATCCTGAGCGTGGTGGAAGTCACATGATCTCGACAGATGACTTGGAGTATCCACGCGAGTATCGGACGCTGGGGAACAGCGCTCGCCGCTTCTCCAATGTGGGCCTGGTGCACACGTCGGAGCACCGGCACACGGTCACGGCCGCCCAGAGCCTGGAGGCCCTGACCAACCTGCACAAGGCTGACATGGAGCGGAAACGGGACGCCTTCATGGATCACCTGAAGAGCAAGTACCAGCAGCAGCAGCAGCAGCAGCAGCAGCAGCTGCAGCATCCGCACCACAGCCCTCACCACAACCCACCGTCGCCCTCACCCTCTCACGCCAGCATGAGAGGCTCCTCAGAACGATCTGCTCGAGAACAGGTAATTAACAACTCGTGATTAATGACTAGATTTCATGCAGCCAATCAGACTTTTGTATCTCTTTGAAATATTTGGGAACAATCTGATTAATCTTTTTTTATTTTTAATTACCTGCTCTGAAGTAAAAATTACATCACCCAAGAAGAAAAACTACAATCTTTATTACTTTATCGAAGAAAAACAGAACAAAGACAAAAAGTCCTTGGTTGGCTGACTTAATATGTCTAAAGAACTTAAACATATTAAGTTAGAATTTGTTAACTTGTGCATATATAAACGTAACACTTAGCAAAATGAACTTGAATGAAAATAATACCGCATWCACACAATTGTTTTTATTTATGCATTTTTATTGTTTCAGATTGATTGGGTCAAAACTATTTTTACTTCTGTTGGTACGAAATTTATGATAAAGTATATTTGAGTCATGAGTAAGTATAAYACCTGTCAGGTTTAAGCTCAAGTTTTCATTTATATAGCAAAACCTACAGCATTGACTTATCGATGATAATAAGGATGCTGCGTTTTGTTCATGACTTTTATACTTTTTCCAATGGAAGTTTTGCTATACTTTACCTAAAGTCTTATATATTTATATGTAATTTTAATGGCAGTGTAAGAAAGTGTTCAAATTAGATGCCCAAATAATACACAGCAAACCAAAGACGCTCTCAGTTAAATGTTTGTTTTCAGATCCAAAGACTCCATTTCACCCTCAGAACCTGTGCGTGGCCGTGAAAGTCTAAAAACCAAATGGCCCCAAATCACAYGCTCTCATTACACTTACACCCTGCACCCCTAGTGGTGGTCCCTCTTATGGCAGCAAGGGCATGCCGTAAATATAAACAATTTCATGTTTATCCTGCAGGTGGAACGCACATATTGAGTAGAGACTTGTTGATTTCATCACTGTTTAAAGTAAATGACTAAAACTGATCACAAAGYATAAGATACAAGGTTGTATTGAAAAATGCAATCAGTTGCAAARTATCCTTCAGCAGAAAATCTTATATTACACATAAAATTATAAAGTCTGTTAAAAGCATTTAAAAATGAATTTAACTCACCCAGTTAACAGGAGTCAGATTCAACTTCATGTGAAAGCCATAAAAATCACGTGRAAACATTTTTAATGTAAATTCAGCAGGTTGTACTTTTTTTTGTCCTTCAGGATGTAGCTACGACACTAACGCCACCCTAGGCTACAGTCCACAAAACAAGGGTTTGGACCGAGCCGAGCTTTTATCCTCTGAGGACAGAGTAAAAACAGCAGTTAGTTTTCCTGCAAACAAATTCTGCAGAGCTTTGCCTGGTGGGAATGAGAAAATGCACTTATGCTAATCCAGGAGGGAATACATTTTTTTGTTTGTATTTTTCTCCTAGTTTTTTTTAAACTTTGAAAATATAGTTCATAATGTTTCCCAACCTCAGAAAGACCCGTTTGCACTTCTGTCTCTCTAACGCACATGCGTGCAGTGTTGCATAAAATACCTCAAAGTGATACTTGAGTAAAAGTACAAGTATCTTATCATAAATATACTTTGGTAAAAGTTAAAGTCTTCTCTAAAAATATTACTTGGGTAAAAGTCTTAAAGTATCTGATAATTTTTGTACTTAAGTATCAAAAGTAAATTTCTGACACAAAATCTACTTAAGTATTAAAAGTAAAAGTGCTGAGTAAAAGTGAGCAATTTTCCAAAATAACATTTATTGGGAGGTGACTTCTCCAAAAAATATTTTTTTCTAACAGTGTGCAGCTGTGATGGGTTGTGTACAAG